AAAAAAAAAATGTAATCCACTCATGCTTTCTCACACTGGCATTATCAATAAGCATTTGAAAACTCCTCATGTGCATGGATTGGAAAATGATGGTACACTGACATAAACTTCTCTTGTAATTCAATTTTTCATGAACTCTTCAAAGTCTTCTCATTGTTTTAGAGAGAGGCTATGTGCTGACGCTAATTAGAAAATATTAGAGGTCAAAATTATGTTTAATGCACCTAACCTGCTGATCCTCACAGCTTAGCAATGAGGGACACTGGAGAGTAACGCTAAGGACCCTCGGGATTGTGTGGCTGATGGGCTGCCGGGCACCCTGCCTGGCACTTCCAGAGACTCTGGCACCAAGGACCACAGCCTGAGAAAAGATCAAACTCCGACCTGGAAATGCGGTTTCTGCTCCATGTGTATCGCTTTTGCACCTTCTTAACTTGCAGAAAATCTCAGTCAAGCTGGTGTTTGCACCAGGAATACAGGCCAACCCTCCCCCAACTCCACTCCTTGAGCCTGGGGCCACACTGATGTTAGAGTGATGGCTGCAAGCCGTGACCATTTTTAGAACTTGAAAACCCATGTTGCTCTTCTCTGCCTCTGATGTCTGTGCCTAGTGAGTTGCTGTTCAGCTACTTTATTTCCTCCCATTCTTATTCGAGTGAAGCCTGGCTCGCTTGTAAAGTGAGGACAGGTCAACATGAATGATCTTTGCACACACACATGTGAAGCATTGTAAATGCTCTCTGGGGTATAGTAAATGTTCCAAACTTCATGGTTCAGTTTAAAGCCTGTTACTTCTCTAAGAAAATCCGGCAATAATTATTTCCTCAGTCTTTCAGCTCCTTGGCACTGCAAGTGTGACCCATAGAGATCACTTTAATCCCTTGGAAAATGAGAAGCAGGGGCCAGCCTCTTGGTACCGTGGGTTAGGCCACTGCTTGAGACACCAACACCCCACATTAAAGTAGTGACTCGAGTCCTTGCTGCTCCGCTTCTGATTCAGCTCCCTGATAATGAGCCTGGGAAAGCAGCAAAAGATGGCTCAAGTGGTTGGTTTGCTGCCACCCTTGTGGGAGACCAGGATGGAGTTCCTGGCTCCTGCTTTCAGCCTGGTCCAGATCTGCCTGTTGCAGCTCTCAGGGAAATAAACCAGCAGAGGAAAGTTTCTCTCTGTGTGTGTGAGTGTGCGTGTGTGTGTGTGTGTCTCTGTGTGTGTGTGTGACATGTATGCAGATCATCCGGACAGAAGATCAATAAGGAAACAGCATATTTAATCGACACTATTGCCCAAATGGATCCAACAGATATCTACAGAACATTCAATCCTACATCTAAAGACTTTACATTCTTCTCAGCAATGCATGGAACCTTCTCTAGGATTGATCACATACTAGGTCATAAAGCAAGTCTCAGAAAATTTAAAAGAATTAGAATCATACCATGCAGCTTCTCAGACCACAGTGGAATGAAGCTGGAAATTAGCAACTCAGGAAACCCCAGAAAGTATGCAAACACATGGAGACTGAACAACATGCTCCTGCAATAGGGGCCTATACCAAGAAATTGGAATGGCACCAAATAAATGAGCTTTCAGTGCATCTCAAGGACCTAGAAAAACTGCAGCAAACCAAACCCAAATCTAGTAGGAGAAGAGAAATAATTCAAACCAGAGAAGAAATTAACAGGATTGAATCAAAAAAAAATTACAAAAAATCAGCCAAGCGAAGAGCTGGTTTTTTGAAAAAATAAACAAAATTGACACCCCATTGGCCCAACTAACTAAAAAAAGAAAAGACCCAAATCAATAAAATCAGAGAAGAAAAAGGAAATGTAACAACAGACACCACAGAAATAAAAAGAATCATCAGAAATTACTACAAGGACTTGTATGCCAGCAAACAGGGAAACCTATCAGAAATGGATAGATTCCTGGACACATGCAATCTACCTAAATTGAACCATGAAGACATAGAAAACCTAAATAGACCCATAACTGAACAGAAATTGAAGCAGTAATAAAGGCCCTCCCAACAAAGAAAAGCCCAGGACCACATGGATTCACTGCTGAATTCTACCAGACATTTAAAGAAGAACTAATTCCATTTATCTCAAACTATTCAGAACAATCGAAAAAGAGGGAATCCTCCCAAATTCTTTCTATGAAGCCAGCATCACCTTAATCCCTAAGCCAGAGAAAGATGCAGCACTGAAAGAAAATTATAGACCAATATCCCTGATGAACGTAGACGCAAAAATCCTCAATAAAATTCTCACCAATAGAAAACAACAACACATCAGGAAAATTATTCACTCAGACCAAGTGGGATTTATCCCTGGTATGCAGGGATGGTTCAACATTCGCAAAACAATCAATGTGATTCACCACATTAACAGACTGCAGAAGAAAAACCATATGATTATCTCAATAGATGCAGAGAAAGCATTCGATAAAATTCAATAATTCTTCCTATTCTACCTGCTATCTTGACTTCAAGTGGCTCAGACTGTCACGTTTGAATCAGGGAGGCAACACATTTTCAACCAAAGCCATTGATGAGTTCTTTTATAAAAATCTCTTCTAGAAATTCCCAAGTACAGTGAATCCCTCAGGAATGCCCCTAGGAACGCTGAGGGGCCCCATCCCTCAGGGTTTCCCAGGTCTCAGGTTCGGGGCCAGGGTGCTTTCCCGTGGACCTCAGATGGACTAAGCAGGAAGGCCGTGGCATTTCTGGAAAGATGGACCCGTGTGGAGGAGCTGCCATCCCCAGGAGCCAGGCGCTTGGCCTAACAGCGGGAGGCTTGGCTTCAGGTGCAGCACAGGGAGCGGCCCAGTGCCCAGGGCGCAATACGTGGATGGAAGCTCTGTGCTTCTCAACACCGTCAGGGCCATTTCCCAGGGCACTACGGGACAGGAGGGATGGCCACGGAGACGCCAGGAGCACGCGCAAGGGCAGCAGGAGAGCCTCCAGCAGGTTCCCAGCCCGCTCACGGTCTCACCAGTCCTCATGACTTCACGCTACCTTCGGGCTTGCTCACTGCCAGTGCGCATGCCTATGAGCAGGGCTGGACATTGGCGGGCTCCAGTTACCTTCCAACATCTCCCAGCATGCCTTGCGGGCATTCCGGCCCTGAGGAACTGGGTGCCATAAGACTGTGTCGCCAATGGCGGCGTCCTCAGAGTCTGCTACTTGCAAGGTAATGGCTGTCCAGACCTGCACGTCCCCGATCTGTGTGGATGCCTGAGCTTGAGGGGCTCTGATATCGCAGGGGCCCTGCAGCGGCTTCCGCAGGTGCTTCTCTCAAACTGACCAGGGCAGAGGCCGGGAAGACTCCCTCAGGTTTAGAAAACCCTCTTGTGGGTGTGCATGTAGTGCGGGTTGTTGAAAGGGAGTGCCTTTCTCAGCTGTGCCTATTGGACTGTGGAATCCCCCCAAATAAGGAAACATGCATAGGATTCGTGTTCCTTTCAAACGCACAGGTCGCTGATGTGTGCGACCTGCCTCATTTTAATAACAAGCTTTGGATCCTAGAGGGGTGTGATGTCACATTTCCCTTAGCAGCCTAGGTTGCAGTAAATACAAGATTTTCCCAAAAATCGATGAAAGCACTGCGTGAGATTCAGCTGTGTGCATGAAATATAGGATGCTATGTGTGTGTCTCTTTTTTGAAAAGGAAATTGGGCTGAAGTGATATAAAAATCAAAACACCTATGAAACTTAGCAATACATTTATTGATAATAAACCATAGTTTTACAATCACTTTCAATACCAAATGTAGTGTTCCTTACAATTGAGGCTACTCTGTGGCTTACTTGTGATCAAAGAGTAGAAACGCATGAATAATTTATCATGTGTCTCTCATTATTTACATACTTCACATAATGTATTTAATCTTCTCAGTAACTCTGATCCTGGGTGTATTGTGGATGTCTCCTTTACAGATGAGCTGAGATACTTTATCACAGTGGAAGTCAGTGTCCAATCACCTTCACAAAGTGTGCAGTTTCAATCAGGTCAGTGTTCAATCAACTTCACAAAGTGTGCAGTTTCCTTTTCTAAGACCTGGGAACCATTCATAGCACGTGAGCATGCACTGTGGAGGGATTTGAATGAATTCACCAATAAAACCAAATTCCTTCGTGAAAGACAGTTTTTCCCAGTGAGACAAAGCCAAGAATTTCCCACTAAAACTCTTCCTCAACAATGCAAGGATCCGGGAGGGTACTTTTAAAAAATAGACCTTTAACAACCACATATGGGCCCTTTGACAGCTAGCTACACAAGGGCTAGTCTTTTCTTCACACAGACAGGTGGATTTCACAGCTTTCTAGTGACAGTAGGGGCTCATATCACTGAACATGAGTTCAGTTAGTTTCTCACATAATTAGATCCAATTTACAAAAGCCTTTTCAGGACAGTTTCTTAAGTCCCATTTCAAGCAGCTCCATCTCACACCATTAAATAGGTGGTGTCTTGTGTTGATCCCCAATATTGTGTTAGGCTCCACCCTTTGATCCTGTATCACAACATAGAGTCTCAAAGCAGACCTGCTCCCTGATGCTTCCCCCACCTACGCCTCTCAGTCACTTCCCAGTCCTGAAGACCTGAGGCCATCCTCTCTGACCCAGAGTCAGGGTGGGGGTGGGAGTCTTGTAGGCAGCCTTTAGACACATCAAGGCCAGTCTTGGCAGGTGGAGTTCCTGGGAGAAGAAAGTCACATCCTCCCATCCTGAAGGAGGATGATAATCAAGAACGCTCTGTGAAAATTAGCTGTGCTGTCAGAGGCCCCAAAAAGTTGCTTACGTATGTTGTTATCTTTGTGCTTCATTCGCTTCGTTGTGCTGGTTATGCATAAATACCACCGAGCCACTGGAAGAAACGAGCCTTGATCAGCCTTGTTGTCTGGGCTCCATTCTCTGCCATCTCTTGTCCCTCTTTTCAGTCCCTCCCCCTCCCTTAGGTTCTGTTCCACTGGTGCGGCTGGCCCGCACAAGTTCTCCCTTTCAGTCACTGTCATCAGAGGAGGAAGAGACCAGAAGATCCTCATAGAGGACACTCCTTGTGACCTGGGGACCCTGCCTCTCAGACTCCTTTAAGACGTGAGTGTTCTGACGAGCAGCTGTAGACTTCCCTGGATTGGATGTGGGAGGGGTTCTGGACCTGGCACTGTCCTGTTTCTTGGGGCCGATTCTCTGTGTCGTGTCTGGAACACGACTGGACACTCGAGGTTGGAAGATTGGGCAGTTCTGGCCTGAGCTTGAGCAACGTGAGTTAGATGGAGGCTGAGGGTCAGAAATTGGCTTCAGGACTGGCATCTTTGTTGACCCTTGGGGTGCCCGAGAGTGTGCAGGTCCACTTGTACTGGAGAGAGGTTGGGAAACCAGGAGTCTTGGCTTCTTGGGGCAGTTCTGGCTGGTCTGGATGGAGTCTTGGGCAGACCTCTTGCCTGGAGCCTGGGTGCTGAGTTTGGAGTTCTGGACACAATTTTCTGTGACTGGCTGTGGAGGCAACTTTGAATCCACCTCCGCAACTTTGATCTGCACCTGTGGATTAGACCTGTGACCCAGGGTAGGTGTCTTCCTGGCAGGTTGAAGAGTGTCATGAGAGGAAACATCAGGCCCTTTGACTGTTGGCTTGGCACTGCCAGCTGGGCCTGGGGTGAATTTCTTTAGAACATGGTGAGGGGAGTCAGCAAAGTTGACCCCAGATCCTTGGGCTGGGCTGTCAGTGCTCAGCTGAGGTGTTTTGTTTGGAGCCTCAGTAGCGCAGCGTGATCTATAAGGTGTCTCACTAGGCAGTGGACATGGCAGTGCAGAGCCGAGGGGCGACTTCCTCTTGGATGTTTGCACAGGCAATGGTCTAGTAGGATGCTGTGGCAAGAAAGTTCACATTAGACCCCTCAGATGGATGAAGAACTCACATATTCAACCATACAAAAATGGAAAATCAGCATGTTAGTAACGAAAAAGGATATTGATTACTAATATAAATAGGAAGAGAAAGTAGCACATACAGGTAGCACATACAAGATTGCATCTCAATCAGAACCACAAAAAGGGATGAGGCAGCCAATATAAAGAGACAGTACATGTGAAATTAAATTTCACAGAACTAAATATTGAAATCATCCAGTCACATCTTCAGAGATTGTATACTCAGGTTAGTGAGGGGAAAAGAATACGACATCAGTCTGATTCTTGTTTGTGGCAGATAGGACAAGACTATCATTACCTTGTCTGTTGTTAAGGTCAAGGGAGTGGCTGCACTGTGGAATGTGGTGCTGGGGTGAGAAGGGCTGACCACATTCCGGTTTTCGATCCATGTGTTACACAGTGTGTTGTGAAACTTAAATAGGAAGCGAATTCTACGAAGCTGTATCTGACTTTGAAAATGTTTCCTACAGGTTTTAAAGGTTGATTGCATGTTGGTAGATTGCTGATGGAGTACCATCATATTGTTAAGGGGCAGTTAAATGCAGAAGACAACTACCCTGTGATGAGCTTTGAAAACTCTCTTGGGCCAGTGCTGTGGCATAGTGGGTAAAGCCACCGCCAGCAGTCCCAGCAAGCCATATGGGCACCGGTTCACTTCCAGGCTGCTTCACTTCAGATGCAGCTCTCTCCTATGACCTGGAAAAGCAGTGGAAGATGGCCCAAGTCCTTGGGCCCCTGTACCCACGTGGGAGACAAGAAAGAACCTCCTGGCACCTGGCTTCAGATTGCACAGCTTGTGGTTACAGCCATCTGGGGAGTGAACCAGTGGATGGAAGAACTCCCTCCCACACCTCTCTTTATCTCTGTACCTCTGCCCCTCTGTGACTCTGCCTTTCAAATAAATTTTAAAAATCTTAAAAAAAAAACACATGTCAACTACCTAATCCTTTTTTTATCCAATATGGAGAGTGTAAATCAAAAACAACTTTTGGAAAGGAAACGTGAAATTAATAAAAGTGTAAAAGATGCCTTGGATGGATACAAGACAGCACATGATCAAATCATTCATGGATGCATCAACATGCCTCCACTAGCATTCACTGGCCAACTTGCAAATAGTGACATAAAAATTCAAATAAAGCAACTGGAACATGGGATACAGACAAATAAAACAGGATTCTGTGGGCCAGCCTTGGTTTAAATATAATTCCCACATAGAATGGCATACAATGAAGCAAATAAAAGGCCACAGAGAAAAAATCACACTGCAGAAGCGGGAGTAGGACTCACCCTCAGATAGGCACATGGTTCTGTTGCTGCCTCAGAGTTCTTCGGCTCCTTCTGTGGCCTCCCCTGTGTTGCCTGTGGTCCAGCTTTCCTCTGCTGCCCTTCATGCCTGCAGAACAAATCCTGTTATCTGTCTGAGGTACCTTTCCTGCCTGTCTCCAAGAGGGACAGCAAACCAAACTAAGAGCACTCCCAGGGCCCCATGCTAGCCCTTGTTTAGGAGTGAGGCAGTCACTGATGCCCCTGTGAACTTGGCCCCAGTGGTTCAATTCTTGTCTGGGAAGCCCCTCCACCCCCAGGATGTGCTGCGTTCCCTAGTGTGACTTCAGTGTTGTGCACTTTCATTTAGGTCTGTGGCTGTTCTGGCTGCCAGGAGCAGCATTCCAAGGTATTCCACAGCCCTTCCCTTTAGTGGTTCTTAGAATAGGATGAGCTCGGGGTGCACCCCTGGAAGGTACTGGAGCACTTGTCTGTTTCTCTGCAGTTGTCTGTCTATGCCTAGAGACAGCTCCAGGGAAAGAAGAGGGGGATGGCACAATCTTCTTGGTAGCCAAAGCTCAGGGCTCAGACTGTGCCTGCAGAATCCTTACCTGTGAGTTCCTGCCTCTTGTCTCTCAGTCTTCCTCAAGGATTCTGCAGGCTGAAGTCCGTCAGGTTTCTTGGGTTTCAGGTTCTCCTTCTCCTGATTGCGACCCAAGGCCAGTAAGGGAATGGCCCCACCCCAGGACTTCATGGGGCACCTCTTGCTTTTGGCCAAGTGCCCAAAGGCTCCACAGTTCTTGCATTTCACCTGTGGGTAGGGGAAGTGGTTATTAGGTGAGCGGGTACCAATCACAGGCAGTTTTCAAAAGTGGATATAAAGAAGATTAGGGAAATTAAATATTCTTTCGTGGGAGGTCATAGACCCATGGATTTTTATTTGCCAAGAAACTCAAGATATTATGATCCTCCCAGAGCTAATTCAATCCAGGAATCCAAGGAGGTAGAACTTTCACATCTAAAGGAGATGATAGTGGCTGTTCCCCACAGGCTCTGAATGTGCCGATCAGCCAGGTAAAGAGAAGGCAAACCAGCCCAGCTTGACTAAAGAGGAATAACTGAAGGATGGACACACAGATTCCCGCGTTTAAACCAACTCCTCATGGACCCCTTTGTTCTCGAAAGCCCCAAGCCTCCGCTTACCTTGCTGTACTCTCCGTCTGGTGGGGAAGCCCTCTGGCACACTGATCTTCTCTGTGGGTTATTGTCCTTCAGGGGCCTTCGAGGCTGATGACATACTGAATGGCGTGCCATCTGATTCATAGCCTTGGGCTTCTGATGAGGCTTGCTCTTTAATTGATCGTTGGTTTTCCTAGTCCAAAGAAACAAATTTAAAAATTCAAAATGTATGACACAAGCCCCTTATACGTCTATTTCTCCCAGGAGATATTGGAGGGACTTCCTCAGTACTAACCCGCATCCACCACCTCTTGGATCTGTGATAGATGCCCCATTCTGACCTATTTTGTGAACTCGTTGTAGTGTTTACCTACTGCCAAAAAAGGACACTGCCCAAGAAAAGACCACTTAATTAAAAGGCTTCTAATAGATGGTGATAGTGAATTGGTAACCCTACACAAAAGTATTTTTGGTTCTGAGTGTTGGTCTAGCTTCTCTCTCCAGACTAAAAGCCCCAGCAAAGCCAACAGAAGGGTAGCCAACAACTGGTATTTCAGATCATAAAAACTCTATTTTCACAGAGTAACTTCTTACCCACAAAGCCGGCAGAATGCTCTGACAAAGCTTTGATATTTCACCTTGTCAAAACAAAATGAATTCTCTCAAGTTAACTGAGGGCAAAAGTAAGTTAGATGCTGGGTGACAGTGAGGCAAAGGGAGACAGTCACACGCACTATTCTTGGACATAGAATGAAAATCGATAAGTAAGTGCTTGACCTTTATACAATCCTTGCTTCTGAAAAGCTGAAGTTGACAAATTGATGCGGTCTGTGATCAACCAGTCAAACTGAACAGTTCCCAACAGGGCATGTGCATAAGCCAGTCAGAACTGAGCAAGCTGAAATCCTTCATTTGCATCAGGAGGACTCCATGAGACCTTGAGCAGGACATCTCCCTCAATAGGAGAATTCCTTCCTCTCTTGGGAGAGGTTCTTTGATCTCCAGTGAGGGCTGCATTGCCCTGGCTTGCAAACCCTGTGATTAACAAATCTTGTTAAATTTTTAAAGTCAAGGCCCTGTGAGGTGAGTGTCCTGAAGCCTTGTTCAGGCAGAAATGGAGGGCCCTTGGGGAATCAGGTCCTGGCCCCATGGCTCACTCCCCAAATTGGCCTTACCTGTCCTTTGGGTCATCTGGTCTTTGGGAAGTTGCTTGGGGCTGGTCCACCGTAAGCTGACATTTCCCTTGGGAGACACAGCGGGCTGTGGGATCCTCTCCAGGCTTCAGGGGAAATCGTAACATGGCCTCAACAGAGGCAACAACTACCCACTTCTCCACCATCAAATCGATCTGATAAAGAGAAAAGAGGCATCAAGATTCAACTTTCAGTCTGCAAGCAGGAAGTGACTTTGGGAAAAGAGAAGATAAACTCCCAGTCACTTGAGCATTTTCTTTTTCTTATAAAGAAGGCTTTTTGTTTAAGTATGTGTAAGATTTATAATTTATTTGAAAGGCAGAGTTACAGAGAGACAGAGGCAGAGAGAAAGAGAAGCCTTGCATCCACTGATTCACTCCCCAAATGGCCACAATGGCTGGAGCTGGGCCGATTTGAAGCTGGGAGCCATGAGCTTCTTCTGGATCACCTGTGCAAGTGCAAAGGGCCAAGGACCTGGGTGATCTGCTTTCCCAAGCCATAGCAGAGAGCTGTGTAAGGAAAGGAGCAGCCAGGAAGAAAGCGGCATCCATATGGGATGCCGGCATGCAGGCAGCGGAACGACCCACCTCACCACAGTGCCAGCCCTTTTCCTTTCTGTTTAAAATGTTTTGATTAGGCCAGCGCAGTGCCACGCTAGGCTAATCCTTCGCCTAGCGGCGCCACACACCGGGTTCTAGTCCCGGTCTGGGCACGGATTCTGCCCCGGTTGCCCCTCTTCCAGGCCAGCTCTCTGCTGTGGCCAGGGAGTGCAGTGGAGGATGGCCAAGGTGCTTGGGCCCTGCACCCCATGGGAGACCAGGAAAAGCACCTGGCTCCTGGCTCCTGCCATCGGATCAGTGCGGTGCGCTGGCCTCAGCGTGCCAGCCGGGGCGGCCATTGGAGGGTGAACCAATGGCAAAAGGAAGACCTTTATCTCTGTCTCTCTCTCTCACTGTCCACTCTGCCTGTCAAAAAATAAAAAATAAAAAAATAAAATGTTTTGATTACCATGTTAGTATTTGTAAGCCTTTTAGGAGGAGCCGGTTTTGAGACACAGAGGTAATCCATATAGGCACCAGTTTGATTCCTAGCTGCTCCATCTCTGACCCTTCTCCTTGCTAGTCTGTTGTGGGAAACACCAGAAGATGCCTCAAGTATGTGGACCCCTGCCCCCACATGAGAGACCTGCATGAAGTTCCAGGCTCCTGGCTTCTGCTCCTGCCTTCTGATGGCCTTTGCATCTATTTGAGCAGTGAACCAGCAGATGGAATCAACCAATCAGTCTCTGTGTGTGTGTATGTGTGTGTGTATGTTTGTGTGTGTCGGTGTGTCCATCTCTCTGTGGCTCTGCATTTCAAACAAGTAAATCTCCAAGGAAAACCTTTGTGGGGCAACTGAAGTGTTTCAACACATGCCTACAGCAGGGAGCACCTTAAACTTTTGTTATTCCACAGCCAACAATGAACTTGCTGGTGACCTCCAAATAGTACCAATGGGTGAAGGTACAGGGTCTTGCTTTGTTTCCATTCTCTTCGTACTATTTGTTGACTCTTTTACTGAGAGTAGGGCTCACTCTCTGATCACTAAGTTTGCTGACAATAGATCACTGTAAAAAGCAAGAGTGGGTATCTGAGAGGGAGGGTAAGGGGGAAGTGCCACTATGTTCCTAAATCTGTTAGATGAAATGCATGAAACTTTTGTAACTTCAATAAAGTTTCAAAACAGAAAGTGGAGTCTGGGGGAAATGCTGGTGTGAGCTGAAGGGAAGTAAGATCCATAGCAATTGCATATGCCTGTGTTCTCCTAACGTCCTTTGAAATTGGCCAGTGCAATGTACAGAGAGTTTTAAACACTGACTATTACAGCTGATCATGGGAGGAGTACCTGCCTCGGACTGACCCTCAGCTTTGATGCCATCTCATTCCATCTACTTCTCACTTGACCCAGTATCTCCCATACTCACATCTCATTGTGGGATCCCCCATTGCTTTAACAGCTCCTTCCCCTGTTCCATGGAAAGAGTGTTGGGGTCCATTGTGGATGGTGCTGGCCAAGGGCATCTGCCTCCCTGGGGAAATAGAAACGGAAGCCACTGGATTCTTATGCCCTGAATTTCAACTAGCTTCTAACAAGGCACTGAGTACATTGAAAGAAAAGATAAGTGAATAACACTGTGTTTGGAAGCCCTCAGTCAAAGGTGCAATGGCCCCTTTACTGCTCACTAGCCACCCCATCTAAATCAGAAAGTTAGGAGGAAATGTTGGCCTTCATCTAATAATGAACATTTCAGAAATATGGTTTGAATCAGGCTCTACCTTGGGAAGCATGAAGCAGTTAACTAATCCTTTCCTCAACTCATAACACCACCTTCCATGGATTGTCCCCACCCTCCTATTTTTCCCATTTCATACACCAAGGACCAAAACAATCATGGAAACTCACCTGTCGTCTTTCTCGAGCTCTGAGGTTGCTCAGGTGTGGGCACAGGGCAATTCTGCTGGAGACAGAAGCTTCCAGCATGACCAGTGAAGAGGTAGACTGAGGGGAGGAGCCATGTCCTGCTGGGCTTTATACTGTCCCACAGCCCCAGGATGATCACGTGACACACCCTAATCCCCACAACTCAATTACATTGAGAGGATTTTCACCCAGGCCTCTGATCTGGTTCACTACTTTATTGAATGCTACTCCTATAGCACTTTTCATTTCAACGCATACGTGGGCATTTAAACAACACATTGTAGTTTGGTGTGTGCCGTCCCCAACATTTTTTAAAAATTTAGTATGTAACAGTGTGTTTTAGCACTATATGAAAGCTCCTAAAAATGTTCATGGGAAGGGCGGGTTTCCGAAGGAGTTGGTCTTGCCCAGCAAGTTAATCAGATTAAGCTGAAGCCATCTGCATCACTGGTATCCCATGTTGGAGTCTATGCTGCTCTGCTTCTGAGCAGCTCCCTGCTACTGTGCCTGGGAAAGTATTGGAGGATGGGCCCCGGTCAGCCACAGGAGAGACCCAGATGGAATTCGTGGCTTGTAGACATTTGGGGAGTGAACCAGTGGATGGAAGATCTCTCCCCCTCCCCCTCTCTCTTTCCTCACCCTCCCTTCCTCTTTCTCTCTCCTTCTCAGACTGTTGCTAATCCTTTCACAGAAATAAGCCACTCATGCAAAACTGGATTTAAAGTAAGACTTTCTGTTGCAAAAAAAAAAATGTAATCCATTCATGCTTTCTCACACTGGGCATTATCAATAAGCATTTGAAAGACTCCTCATGTGCATGGATTGGAAAATGATGGTAACTGACATAAACTTCTCTTGTAATTCAATTTTTCATGAACTCTTCGAAGTGTTCTCATTGTTTTAGAGAGAGGCTATGTGCTGACGCTAATTAGAAAATATTAGAGGTCAAAATTATGTTTAATGCACCTAACCTGCTGATCCTCACAGCTTAGCAATGAGGGACACCGGAGAGTATCGCTGTGGACCATCAGGATTGTGTGGCTGATGGGTTGCTGGGCTCCCTGCCTGGCACTTCAGAGACTCTGGTACCAAGGACCACAGCCTGAGAAAAGATCAAACTCCGACCTGGAAATGCGGTTTCTGCTCCATGTGTATCGCTTTTGTACCTTCTTAACTTGCAGAAAATCTCAGTCAAGCTGGTGTTTGTGCCAGGAATACAGGCCAATCCTCCCCCAACTCCACTCCTTGAGCCTGGGGCCACACTGATGTTAGAGTGATGGCTGCAAGCCATGACCATTTTAAGAACTTGAAAACCCATGTTGCTCTCTCTGCCTCTGATGTCTGTGCCTAGTGAGTTGCTGTTCAGCTACTTTATTTCCTCCCATTCTTATTCGAGTGAAGCCTGGCTCGCTTGTAAAATGAGGACAGGTTGACATGAATAATCTTTGCACACACACATGTGAAGCATTGTAAATGCTCTCTGGGGTATAGTAAATGTTCCAAAACTTCATGGTTCAGTTTTAAACCCTATTACTTCTGGGCTGGAAATGTTTTCCCTATCCTTAGGTGTGTAGAGGACTCACCAGAGACAGTGATTTTATCTCTACTGAAAACACTCTCATCTGTTCATTCCGACAAGACCCTTTCCTTTTTATAGCTAGGGAAGATGTATTTAATGAAAATGGGACAATATAACAAAGGGTTTAAGATAACAGCTGTCATGGTGCCAGTGTTGGAGCAGCAGTTAAACCACCACATCGGAAACTCACACACATATCACAGTGCCTGGGTTTGATCCCCAGCTCTGCTGTCCATTCCAGGAGGCTCTGGGAAGCAGCAGATGAGGTCTCAAGAACTTGAGGCCTGGCTACCCACATGAGAGGCCATGATTGAGTTCTTGGCTCCTTGCTTTGGCCTGCCTAGCCCTGGCTATGGCAGACACTGGTGGAGTGAACCAGAAGAGAGGTTTCACGCTCTCTCTCTCTCTCTCTCTCTCTCTCTGCCATTCAGTTAAACAAATTTTAAAGCAAAATGCTTATAACTTTGAATCATACAAAAGGATAGCAACTGTCACTTGAAAATGTCCTGTGACATTTTCTCTGCATAACAAAATTCTCAAACAATCCTAAACTGTCTGAATCCAAATTTCAAAGTATTTGTGCACACACAGGAGTTTCAATAGGCTAATCCTTCACCTGTGGCACTGGCACATGGGTTCTAGGCCTGGTTGGAGGGCCATATTTTGTATTGGTTGCTATTCTTTAGTCCAGCACTCTGCTATGGCCCGGGAGTGCAGTGAAGGATGGCCCAAGTGCTTGGGCCTTGTACAAGCAAGGGAGACCAGGAGAAACACCTGGATCCTGGCTATGGATCAGCTCTGTGCACTGGCTGCAGCACACCGGCCCCAGCAAACATTGGGAGTGAACCAAAGGAAAAAGGCAGACCTTTCTATCTTCTCTCTCTCTCTCTCACTTGTCCACTCTGCCTGTCAAAAAATAAAAATAAAAAAAACAAAAAGTATATGTACACTCAAGAGTCTACAATTTACTTATTTTACATATTTCAGTTAAAAACAGATCTTTTCCTATTTCTTAAAGATTATTTAAGTCACGTGTTAGTTAAGTATATAATCTAAAATGAGTAATGATTAAATTTTTACCTCACACTGTTTTATCCCATTTTAAAGCTCTCTGTCTCACCATTTACAGTAAGACATATGATTGTCACATTTATCATTACACTTTCATGTTTGGCATAAAAAACAGTAAAGTTATTTTTGGTTGTATTTTTGACAGGCAGCATGGACACTGAGAGAGACCCAAGCACTTGGGCCATCCTCCACTGCACTCCCGGGCCATAGCTGAGAGCTAGACTGGAAAGGAGCCACCATGACAGAATCCGGCACACTGACCGGGACTAGAACCCAGTTGCTGGTGCTGCAGGTGGAGGATTAACCTATTGAGCCATGGCGCCAGCCTGTTAGTTTTGATTTTCTAACACTGAATCATTCTTGCATTCATTAAACCCAACTAACTTGTCAGGATTCATGCTCCTATAATATGAAACGACAATCCATGCATTTGTATTTTATTACTAACATATCTAAATGTTTATTCATTTGATATTGGCCTAGACAATAGAACTTTGCACAAAATGGAAAACAAAATTTGTTCCAGCAAACATAAAATAATGCCCTACCACACTAAAATAAAGGGACAGAGAACAAACCCAAAATGTGTGTGTGTATGTTTGTGTGTGTGTGTATGTTTGCGTGTGTGTGTGTGTTTTCAATACAGGTAATCTATCTGTCAGCATAGCATAGTGGTTAAATGCACTATCTTTGTTAAAAAGAAAACTAACAGCTGTCTGTGGGGAATCCCACAGGAGTGCCAAATGACTTAAGGAGCACCACTAATCCAAAAACAAAGAGAAAATACAAAACCAAAAGAAAGTTTCTTAAGCTAAGGCTACAAAGCACCAAGAACTGCCCAGACCATCTGTCAGAACAGACACAGGTGATGAAGCCACATAAGGACTGGGCAACATTACATCATAAGAAGCAGCCAACCAGCTTTCTACTACATTACTTCACCCACACTACTGCACCACAATTGGCCACACCCAGAAGACCCCTAACACACCACTGGTCACACCCAAACATCAGCATCTGGATGGTGACACCCAAAAAGATGAGCCTCTGATTGCTAACACCTTGGGACACACTCAATGCCCACCTACTCTAGAAGGGAGATAAAAAGGCAAGCCTCACAACTACTCTTCCTTCATCCCCTCGGGGACCAGGGCAGAGTGGACAGGCAGAATAGGATATGAGAGAGAGAGAGACAGAGACAGAGAGAAAGGTCTTCCTTTTTTCTGTTGGTTCACTTTCCAATGGCCACTGCAGCCAGTGCACCACGCTGATCCCTAGCCAGGAGTCAAGTGCCTCCCCTGATTTACCATGTGGGTGCATGGCCCAAGGACTTGGGCCATCCTCCACTGCACTCCTGGGCCACAGCTGAGAGCTGGACTGGAAGAGGAGCCACCGGGACCGATTCTGGTGCCCCAACCGGAACTAGAACCCGGTGTGCCAGCACCACAGGTGGAGGATTCACACTTGTTCCTGTTGCTGGATAGTGTAGACATTGTCTTACCCCTAGATGTGTGTTATGACCTGTGGACTAATGGTACACTGAGTGCTACTGGCCTGTAAATGTGCACACTGAATATATATTATGGAGCATATTGAACAATACATCCTATTGAAAAGACTGTCATGATTCTGTGCGATTCTTCCCCATGCTCTGACACATTGCATTAGGCTTGTCGAGCTGGGTGACCTGTGGCACTCATGACACTGTCTCAGAGCCTAGTGGAAAAAACCAATCACATGTATGATCTTCATAGCAGTGAATCACATCCTGTAAGTGGTCCTCTGACTTGTTCATTTAAGAGGTAGACACAGACACACAGAGAGCTCCCATCTGCTGTTCACTCCCCAAATGCCTGCATGGCCGGCATCCCATAGGGGCTCCAGCTGGAGACCCGGCTGCTCCACCTCCGATCCAGCTCTCTGCTATGGCCAGGGAAAGCAGTGGAAGGTGGCCCAAGTCTTTGGGCCCCTGCACTCAGATGGGAGACACAGAAGAAGCTCCTGATTCCTGGCTTTGGATCAGCGCAGCTATGTCATTGTGTCCAATTGAGTACTGAAACAGAAGATGGAAGACCCTTCTCTCTCTCTCTCTCTCTCTCTCTCTCTCTCTCTGCCTCTCCTTCGCTCTTTGTGTAACTCTGATTTTCAAAAATTTGTAGAAGGTGAATTAAAAATTAATTTTATTCTTGGGCCAAAATTTTTCTGAAATCTATGCTTATGCAGAATCTTCAAAAGCTCATTGCAAAATGTGTGTTATGGAAAATCATGCATGGATTTCAGAATTGGTTGCACCACACTTATCTTGTAACTATATTGCAGTGAACACTTTTAACGTACTCTCATATGCCTAAGAGCAAATCAATTTAATTACATGGAATGCATTTCTTATTTTAGTCACTATTTTAGTTAC